TTTTTTTTTTTTAGAAGAACCATACGCGTCAATTTATGTGTTAATTGCTAAAACAGGTGAGACAAGCAAATAAAATTCACAATTCCGTTAATGTGTTCTAACAAAAAAAAGAAAAAAAAAAGAATGAAGACCAGATGCAAATATGGCAAGCACTATCGTTCGTATTTCAGCTTTAAATTGCTGGAAACTAATGTTTCTAACGGCTAGGTGTAAACTATTACTACAGACATGTCAGATTTCTACCCGGATATTTACTCGCGGTTGCAAGAGCCTCGCGATACGAACTCGAGAACGGTATAATATCGGTTGCTCATGGCAGAGTGTGTACGTGTGATTCGCATTAAGCAAATGTGTACCTCCATGTAACTGCGAGAGCAATTCAAGCAAGGAAGATTGCTTTGAGAGAGAGAGAGAGTAGACTAAAGCCCTCTTAGAAACAAACGCCTCATTTGTTTCTCAAATTGTCTTTCTCGAAATTGTGAAATAAAGTGTATCGTCTCGAAATGGATCTCGGCGAGAGTTGCAAATTCGTTATGATGAAAGAAAAGAACGATGCTGCGCGGGCCAACGTATTCACTTCACAGTTATTTGTGCGTCTGCAGTTATATGTGCGTCTGCAACGTGCATCCAATACGCAGTAGCGAGCTTCAGACGGGTAGCGATACCGCGTTTGTAGATACACCATCGCATGCCAACCCGACACGTAATATACATACGTTGGTCCAATTCGCGTCGATATGCGTCTGTTGATTTAAGCAACACGCGTCTGCGCCATCGATAAACGATCCTGAAATTTCTGTCCAGAAACGATCTGTAGGGAACGTGGATGCCATTTATTGTTTCGTTGTCCGCACGTTGAAAGAATCGAATAGTAAACAACTGCATACGAATAAGAGTCCAAAGAAAAGTAAAATAATAACGATTTAAAAAAAAATTAATAAAGAAAAGAGCATTTTTAAGTGAAAGAAAGAGTTCAAATGAACATCTTTATGGTATGTGAACGTAAAAATGGAAAGAAAAATTGTAATAAAGTTACAAATTTAAGAGAAAGCTTTTAACCCCTTTCTGCCCCAAAGGATAAAATATATTAAGTGGCGAGTAAGGCTCATATCCCGCTCTCTATCCCGATATCTCAGCCTGGTTTTCCTTATGCTTATTTCACAATATCCTGTAGCGCTTGATAGCGTAGCTCCTGCTGGATACAATATACAATATACAATAATGTATTAAATTAGCAACACTCGCAATGTGCACTCGCAACATTTTATATAAATTGCATACGAAGGTAATATAATGAAATACCACCTTCATGGATTTTGCAACAACGTAATTACGGGGGATTTTCTCTACTCCCCCAGTAAATCGAAAATTTTCGCAAATATGAGTTACGTGATACACCGACGGGGCTTTAAACCGAGAAATAAATTGCGCAATTTTCAACCGCGCATTAATTTTGGAATCAAAGACCTGAAAAACGCACGCGTTGTTACATTATCAAGGCAGACGTTCGCTGCAAAAGCGCGCATAATGTTGTGCCGTTGGAATAATTAAAACGGCTAATTTTGCGTCGCAAAAAATTTAATGTGCGCAATAAATGGGTAAATGGTTGCTGAAGCCGCGCGCGATACTGCGGATTCGATAAACGCGTGTTGCATATGATAGCTATCTGTCAGCCGATAGTTACGGCTTGACGGCTTTTTGACTTCTCGGATAATCCACGAGCCTCGGGAGGAAAATTCTCGATATACCGACGTCGACGACGGTGGATGTAACATGGAAATGAAAACCAGGTGGCAACAGAGAGAAGACATCGGAAAGGTCGGCGCGGGTCGTATCGATCTTCGTAACACCCGATATTTTCTTCACGGCGGGCGCATCGTCTACGTCTTTCGTGAGAATGCAATAGACGAAGAGGAACGAAATTAAAAACAAAAAAATGCCGTCGAGCATCTGGAGAACTTTTTGCAAGACGGAGAAGCGCGCGCTTGCGCGTAATTGCTTCCGGCTCGGGGATAATGATCCTTATACTTCAAAGGGTAGTAAGAATAAGTCACGATGAATTTCATCCTTTCATCCTTAGAGAATACAATACAGATGTACGATCTGGAGGATACTGCAAAATTCGTCATACAGGATGTCGTTTGGCAGAGCTTGCCGCTATATCTGTCCTATTTTAGCAGGAAAAGATTCACGTTGCGGACGTATGAATGCGAAAAATATGGATGACAAAGAATCAATTCGGAATTTTTCGCATGCGATTACAACGAGTTATTGGAGCATACACATCAACAACTATCTGTCCGTCATCGATTACTTTCTGGCGGTGCGTCTATATATAATTATAACAAACTATACTCTTTAAGAGATCTCTTGTTTCTTTTTTTTTTGTGAAGGAAGGCGAACCGTATCTCGATGGCCAACTTTGCAATTTAATCTACCTATGATCCGTCGATCGATCAAATAAGGAGGACGGCACCGAGGCATCGTATGAAATATTTTACGAGCCAATTTGGCGCCACACAGCTCGTAAGCGAAGCAGCGATGCTTTTGCAAAAAGTTCGGGCAGAAGTGAGCTTAGCGAAATTGCGGATCCATTCGTGGCGCGAGCAGTGAGAATTCGATTACCCGGTGCGCGTTTCTTACGGGCTTTCTTGCGGAACGGAGATTTGGAATTGATTTACGATGCCGATATACAAGAGGCAGATCGAGTAAAACGACACGGGACAGAATCGGTCAGGCTGAACTGTTATCGCAGCAAAAATAAACTTGCGGTTGCGTCGCTGCGCGACTCAAGTTTCCTTTCCGTTATCTTAAATATTTTGCATCGCTACTATAGATTAAATGATTACTGATTCATCTATCTGTCTCTCTTGAGAGACGAAAAATAATCCCTTCTCTATTATCTCGGGGACACCGCATTAATTTATTACGCCGCATTACCTGCGGTAAAACGTACATGCACTTTTGACGCGACCACCGCCCTGTAATCGCTGCTTTTGGAAATTCCATTGCGACACAAGTCGCGTTCGGTTTTGGCCTTTCCGCCGCGCAGACAACCGCGGAAGGATTAATCCGGTTAGCTCGCGCGGGCCACGCTCGACTGTGACTGATGAATGAAATCCGGGGATGGAGATCCGGGGTGGTCGACCTTATTCTGCGTCAGCCCCGTCCTCCATGCAGCATTCGCGAATCCACTCGCGATCGCTCTCATGCACACTCCCCCCCCCCTCGCCCCCTCCTTCTCCTCCTCTTTCCCTCGCCTCCGCGACCTCTCGACTATCCCTCCGTCCTCTCGCCCCGCGGTGCCTTCCGCAGCGCAGCCATCTCCGCCGAGGGGGTATGTACCCACACAGTCTACCGCGCCACTGACGTAACCCTTCTGACGTCACACGTGGAGCTAACACGGCCCCTGCATCCCCCACGGACGAGGACAACGCTCCCTCACGCCGGAGCTCTCGCGCCCTTTTTTCTCGCTGCACTCTTGCGCTCTTACTGACGTATCGATGTTTGTCAACGAATGTTTGCGCTGAGAGGCAATAACGACGATTAACGAACCGTTTATTGCAACCCTCTCGGGGCCGGCCCCTGGTCGAGCGGCGATTTCATATTTAATTCAAGACGCATGATTAAACTATGACCTGTACAAGATGGCACAAATTCACGGCATGTATTCGACACATTAATTGTACAATCAAGGTCATAACGACGTAGGTATCGTAAAGTGACAGTTGATAAATTTTTTATCTCTACGCGCCTTTCGATGGCACATCGAAAGAAAATACAAGCGCGCATCCTTGATAAATGTATTTATCGAGAAGAGTTTAACCTTCATCCGTAATCGCCTCATAATGTCGTTCAAAGTTTTTGACAAGATAATTTCTCAGTCGCTGTCGTATTAAAATGATATTATGATAATCGCTCTCACACTTCATAACTCGAGACGCGGAGCGAGCTAAGGAATTCAAACTCAATGTAAAACCATTTTCGTCGCGCAAAACTCTGCGGTAAAGATTAACAGAGCTGTGTAATTTTACAGATGTATTTCCGTTTCTTCCGAATCTCCAGCGGCGCATTATTCCGCGTAACGACGGGAAAATAGGAGCGGAAAGATCGATCGGTCGCCCTCTCGATGCCATCCCTCCTCCGCCCTGTTTCTCCTTTGTATTTCTTTTACGCTCCATAAATTCGCGGTAGCCGAAATCGGTACTTCGTTATCGCGATCCCGTTTCAGTTACCGAACATACACCGTTGTAACTTTGTTGCACAAAAAAAAGCGCGCAATAACTGGGTTAGCCAAACTTTTCTTCCTCTGCCCCCCCCCCTCAACCTTCCCCCCCGCCGTACAAATCCCAACTTAAACGCTACAACTTTCGCGCGGAATTCGGAACGTTGACTAATCGTAGTGCGCGCGGATATTAAATTCCTACGGAAAAATTACGACGTCGAGCGTCGAAGCGATCGTCGATTGGCTTCTGGTAATGCTCGTGATACTATAGGATACGAATAAAAGGATACGAGTACCAAAAGAAATTCAATCGAATTGTATGGTTTAATCGCCGATTGTCTTGAACAATTTAGAAGTTCTTCTTGCGGGTTTATCTACAAATATATATATACAGGTATATATATGTACATATGCGATTACAATTCTGTCCAATTCAGCTTTATTTATCGTACTGATAAAATTTGCTCGCGGCTTCAACTTGCCGTTATCTATATATACCGTTCTTAACTCTTAGGCCGATGCTCAGATTGAGTTTCACTCCCCCGATCTGTGCCACCCACGAGCTTACAAGCCTATCGTTTTTTTATCTTCTTTTACCTTCCTACTATCCTTCGATATTCCATCTCTCCCAATTCAATATTCATAAGCTTTCATCAGCTCATTCGGTAATTCCACCGCTAAATTGGTCGAGTGTATATATCTTTCCGTCGCGTCGCTTCGAGCCATATTTTAGAATAAATTTATTAGGTCTCGTTTTTCCTTTCTTTTTTTTCAGGTGAGGAACTGTGGATTGGCGTAATAAAACCTCGGCCCCAGGAGTTGCCCGGGGGTTACCCTGGGGACCTTGGGGAAGCGATCGCGCGAAGACGAAGTGGCTGAGACCGACGAAGGACACGGGAGGCGGAGGAGGAGGCCGCTATGAACGCCAGCGTTAACATCGAGAGGAACTCCTGGCGGCTGCCTCCCGATGAGACCGTCCAGGTCGCCGATCCCCGTTCAAAGTCAGCCCAGGTAAAAGAGGTAAATCGCTCAGCCGGCTCACCAGTGGTCCCTATCCTAATCTTCTTCGAGTACTTTTCGTGAGCTGTACGATTCAGGTTTAAATGCATGTAGGTGTATCGATCGATGGAAGTCGATACGGCGCTAGTACCGATTATTAATTCGCGAGCATTTTACAAGAAGTAAAACTTACGACAAGGAAAACGAGTTAATAATCCGTACTGTGCAATAAGTTTTTTTTATTGAACAACGTAGAAAAATATACGAAATTGATGTTAGTGATTGGTCGGTGTACTGACTTGTTTAGTGTAGTCACACAATGACAAATCTGTGAATGCATAGAGTCAGGTCTTGTTAATCTTTCTTTCATAGAATTCTAATTCTTCTCACAAGTAGCTGAACTATTAACTAGATGAGATAGCTTCGTCTATACGTCTTTGAAATTATATGTGTTTAATATAGAAGTATAATAGATATCAAAATGCGAAAATATATGTTGCACTATTTTTATCTAAAAACTATCCTGTAAGAACTTTCCTAATAAATTTCCTTTAGGATAATATATTTTTCCATAACAATTTTATTATGATCTTAGTCCAACGAATTATTTTATATACAGATACAGATAATAATTTTACGAATTTTAAGCATTTTAAATATTCAAACACTTTTAAGAAAAGATTTCCTAGACATTTGAGACTTTTCAGAAGCTTCAAGACATTCAAAACTTTCAGAATGTTCTTAAGAACATTCAGTTTCAAATAATATTCAAAACAATTTAAATCTTCATGTAATTGAATTTCTAGATTTTCGAAAAGGGTATTCATACGCCCGATTCATTAGAATTTTAGTTTGCTGTTAAAGTGTTTTGATTGTGTTGTATTTTGTATATCGTCCTACATAGACGGTAATGTTAGGTTTGAGTGTCGGATCGTACAGCGATTAAGCCCCTCGCAGGCGCACGTGCTTGCAAATTGGTAGAATTACTTGCGTTAAGTGTCGATAGCAGCATTAGTGACCACTCAGAGTAATACATTCAAATAGCGTAGTTATAACGTACGTCGCGTATAAACCACGAGTATAACTCGGTAACGAGTATCGTTCCCGAAGCGGTAGTTAGCACAGCAGACTATCGCGAGTAGACATTAGATATTCATGTTGCACGATTTTTGTAAATATTCAGCTCTCTCACAAAAAGCCCGGTCTTTCCACAAAACACCGCCTTCTGATAGGAGAATCGGTTGCAATCTCAATAAGGCTGCAAGAGCTGTTTACTTAACTTTTCTGCAAAAGGGCTAAATTCACAATTATTCTGCGACATTCCTACAACGTTTGGCCACCGATCGATATCTCAACTTTAAATTGACGCCCACGTTGAAGTGTCAATTACACTCGCTGCCTTCCGTCCAGCGACAGAATATGCGAAAGAATATTCTTGGCGAGCGTTTAAATAAATGGCTAAAGTCTTTCATTAACTCGACATCAACGTTCTCTCGAGCGCGTGTAAAAACAGGCCGTGCAATAACGCGAGTATAGACCATATAAACTCCAGATAGGCCACGAAATAACGTGATAATTAATTGTGTCCATCACTCTAGCCGTTACGTTGCGAGAAAAAAAATGACAATAAAATCCATACGTGACAAAAGTATCCGGTGTTTACGTAAAGTTGAATAATTCGCATACATGTCTTTTTGTGGCACGCCACCTCGTTACGTAAAACGGCTTCTTTACCCACTAGACGGCTCCTTCGTTCTGGTTTATGAACACTTGCAAGTCTACGGAAAGTGTTACTGAAGTTTCGCCCGCCGTTTATCCGCGACGCCCACCTCCGTCCCCGCGTTTCCACGAGAAGTAGTTTAATTATATTTAAATTAACCGACCGTCTAGAACAAAGGCTGCGATCCGACGACATCCTTACTTTCGCGAAAATCATCGCGCTCGTTGAAAGTAATAAAATATAAACCGCGATAGTCGCTTTTGTTATACCGCCCGCGCGCGTTTCTCTCAATTATATCGAAATCGCTTCTGCGTTTTATTCGCGTTCAGTCAGAGCCACTCTGATAAGAGTTAGCCGTTTACCTCGAACCCTTCCTAATTAGCCGTGATGAGAATTTCGACCAAACGAAATCTACCTAGGAGGGTCATGTTTTACACAATAATTGCGCGCTAACGACCGCTGTCGACCTTATCACACCGATCCATTAGCCGAACTATCAGTGAAATCCTACGAACCGTGTCTGCTTGTCCTTTGCTCACCTTTGACTTTTACTGGCTTCTGACTCTGTGAGTCGATTGAAGGGAACAAGCCACGTCACGAGTATCTTTCAACTGACACAATTCGCTCTTTGAGAATTCGAATCCACAAGCTTTTATCGAGCCATAAATAATTCATACTTAACACTGTCGAAGGATCTCTCGCAAGGCTCAGAAAATTATGACAAAATGAAACTGTCAACACAATACGAAAGCTTCGTAATTGATGAACTAAACGGAAAATTCATCAACGCCCGTCGATTTATGACTAATGACGTGAGACTAGATTTCGCGAACTAGATTTAGCTGCTCGACTTTACAACAATTTTTTAATACGTAAGCACATCACGTGTCTCATGCCGATCGATCAGCCTGCCGCTCCTCTCATTCGTATGCGATTTTCGTGAGTGCGCGGTGTCCAGTCGATACCTACGAGCGTAAACAAATTTATCACTCGCCGCGTCGGGCGGGCAGGAAATAGGAAGAGAGAACCGCAGGAAACAAGGAGCACGCGGCAGCGTAGCGGAGGGATTTCGACGACGAGAATCGGGAAACTTCTGTTAGCCGGGCGCACACAAACCTAGGAGTAACTCGATTATCGGACTATCTGATAACGCGACGAGGCCGATGGCGGATGGCGGGGTTGGTGTCTAGAGGAACGGAAGAAACGAGAGGCGCGTCATGCGACGACGACATTTCGCCTTCCTCGATTTGCATGTGCGAGTACACGTACACGCCCACGCGTCCCGCAAACGCACACGCATACAAACACAATACGCCCCGGTAAACCCCCGAACACGCGCTCGGCGAAGCCGCTGCCGCAAAACCAACAATGCCATTTTACTCGTTGCCGTTCCGGTGGTTGCCAACTCGCACGCGCGCCCGCGCGCGCGCGTACGACATTGGTGTCCTCGGAGTCACACACAGGGACCCTCGGTAAATTTCCAACAAAAGGGTTAAATGTCACTCGAAACTCGGAGCACGCGCTTGGCTTTAGCCGACGACGACCGAAACACTTCGCGATCGATGGCAGTATTCATCACTTCTGCGGTATACATATAGGACGTCGTACGGGCCTCCACAAATGGAACCAGACCGAGCAAATAGTGCGAACAAACACGAACGAGTGAACCTGCTTTAATGTGAATGAAGAATGGCAAGAATGAGCTTAAATTCGCATTGACAAATACGTTCCTAAAGGAGAAAAAAAATACATATTCGCTACGTTCGTCCACGCGTAAATGGTCGTAATTATTCGTTCCTGTCTCGGCTGATTTAGCCTGATCCAAATCCACTTTAGCGTGACGTTCCGCTTTTATACATAGATCTCTATCAACGCGCGTGTATTCGTTTCAAACAAACAACGATATATTCTCGCAGACGGAGTGAAAACGAGGAAATAACGGCTTAACGGCTTGCGCACGCTTGGCGTCCCTTTAATTTGAACGAACGCACGGTGTGGAAAATCATTACAACCCCGGAGGAGGAATTGCCGCGTTGAAACTGGCTGCAATTTCGTAAGTTCAACTCGCGCGCCATTTCCCGAACTTGTTGTTGTATCACGGCCAGCACGTAGAGAAATCCTCGAGTTTGCGTTTGACTTCCGACGTCGCGGTTCCCGTTTCTCGGAGCGCGGCCGCATCCTGAAACCGCTTCGTCCCCATTTGTCATCACGTCGAAACTCTCTCACGGAATTATTTCCAACCAGGTACATGCGCTTGGGAAAATTTAATGCCCCGTCCTGTCCGACGATTTTCGAGATTTCCGGGGTCCTTTCATCCCGTCATGGGGCGCGCGATCGCGCGAGCAAGAAAAAGAGAGAGAGAGAGAGTCTCCGCTGTGACCCGGCGGAGGAAATTTTGCCGCGTTAAAAGCAGTCGAACGCGTTATCGGCGACGGCTTGCTTACGCTCGATTATCGGCCCTTTTGCACGACTGATCCCGTGACCCCGAGCGGATCGTACGTGAAGCGGCCTCGGCGTATAGGTGTGTGCACATGTGTCACACCCCTTTGAACTTCCTGTCCGCAGTACGGGCAAAAAGAGCTAGCAGAACGCCGCGGGAGAGATAGAGGCGTTTCTCCGCCCTCAAGAAAATCACGTCTACGAAGCGTGGCGCGGTCAGTCGGGCGCCGATAGTTCCGGAGAACGGACCAACTGTCGACGACAAAGTGGCGCATAAACCAGAGGGATCGATCTACGGAATTATGTTCGCGGGGACAATCCGACACTGCGCGCGTCCCCGATCGAGATCGTCCGCGCGCGTTATCGCTCGATCGTTTTCGCGGCGAGGCGCGGGGTTGCGGATCGATCGCGGGTAACCCCTGCAGTCGTCGACGATCGGCCGCCGCGATATTTTGACACGTGGCGTAATGACGCGTGTGCATACGCGCGCGTGTTTACCATTTTAAATGTATACAGATATACGTGTAGGCGCGGACATAGAAGGAAGGAACACAGAGAGGGAGGTCAGAAGGTGGGCGGCGGATAGGCTGAAATACTTGGCTGAAACGCGCTCGGCAGTCAGGCCGGCGCATCTGTGCCTCTTGAACGGATGAATTAATTATTGGTGTCGGGTGGAAACGGTGACTTTGTGCCGCACCACTGGGCCCGAACGACGATGGTGCGCAGTGCCGACGATTGTTCGTGACGAAACAAAGCGGATTTTTATCTTCGCGAACGGCCAGAGAAAGGAGCAGCCATGACTTCCGCCAGTCTCTCGGAAGATAAGCAATCACAGCTTTATCACTTTTACAATTCAGATTTC